GTGTGCGTGGGTGTCGTGGCCTGCTTGCTCCTGGCCTTCCTCTGGAACTACACGTCCCCCATCGCCGGGACACCCCACAGCACCGCCTTCCTGATCCTCACCTTCTTCCTGGCCCTGGTGGACTGCACCTCCTCCGTCACCTTCCTGCCCTTCATGATGCAGCTGCAGCCCCAGTACCTGAACAGCTTCTTCATAGGCGAAGGGCTCAGCGGGCTGATCCCCGCTCTCATCACCCTGGGCCAGGGCTCTGGCATGTCCAGCTGTGTCAACGTCAGCCACGTGGTCAACGTCACCACCGGCAACGAGACTGTGGAGAGCACCGTCTTCCAGATGGAGACCCAGTACATCCCAGCCAGGTTCTCCACCCTCCTCTTCTTCCTTCTCATGACTGTAATGATGCTGGCCTGCTTGCTGGCCTTCTTCTTCCTCACCAGGCAGCCCAAGGTGTGGGAGCTCTCCCAGGAGCAGCTGTTTCCCAGCAACATCATGCTGAGCTCATTTTACCAGGTCCACGACGAGGGAGCTGGCTCGCAGCTGAGCGGAGGCTGCCCATGCCCAAAGGATGCCAAAGGGCCCGGGGACATCCTGCCAAAGAGGATCTACCCCCTGGCCAAGCTCACCTTCATCTACCTCCTCATCACTTGGGTGAGCGCTCTGATGAACGGGGTGCTGCCATCCGTGCAGTCCTACTCCTGCCTGCCCTACGGCAACACCGCCTACCACCTCGCAGCCACGCTCAGCTCCATGGCCAACCCCCTCGCCTGCATCGTGGCCATGGTCCTGCCCAGCAGGTGGGTAGCAGGGCACTGGGGGCTGCGGTGGGGTAAGCCCCGGGGGCTTCTGCCCCAACAACGGCTCCTCTTTGCTGGGGGGGGGGGGGGGAGAGAATCCGTGGGGTGCCCATGCCCTGGCAGCAGAGACGCCCTGGAGAAGGAGGATGGAGCCAGCACAGAGCGAGTCAGCCTGTGCCACAGGTCTGTGTCCCTTCCCAGGGACGGGCTGGCAATGCTCCCCGGTGTCACTTGCATGTCCCTTGCAGGTCCCTGGCCCTGCTGGGCACCCTCACTGTGTTGGGGACAGGCTTTGGTGCCTACAACATGGCCATCGCGGTGATGAGTCCCTGCCCGCTCCTCCAGCAGTCCCAGTGGGGTGATGCCACCATCGTAAGTCACAGGGTCCCTCTTGCCTGGGGAGGTCTCCGGGGCCACCCCCTGCTCCAGCCTCATCACAGTGTCCCCTGTGCCCGCAGTGGGGAACCCCCTGGTCTCACTGACTGCTCTCCCCTCCCTGCGCTGCCAGGTC